CATACCACCTGCTCTATCCTTTTCATAAGAGTAATTGATACTATAGTAAAATTAGCATTACAAGATCACCATGACTCGACCGAAATTGCAGACTGATGTTTTGAGAGCTATGCAATGTGCAATTCATGGGACAAATGCGACTAGCGGCGGCCTGACTTGAGGGGCAAAGGAAGACGAGCCTAATCCTGAGACAGAAGGGTATCGTCGGCGCCAACCCCCTCTCATCCCGCACACGCCAGTAGGCCACTGGTCTGGGCCGTTGCTCATCGGCAACGAGCGCCAATCCGTGCCTGCGCCCGCCACCGCCACCACTACGGTCGACGAAGCCCCTTTCGCCACAGCCACACCCAAATCTCAACAGCGCCCGTGGTGCTGAAGCTGTCGTAGCCCACCTCCTTCCACTCCCTCCTTTGTCGCAGCTTGCCATCACCAACTTACCTGAGCTCGCCTCACACCCATGAATTTTGTTGCACGGCCATGGTTGTGTCGTGCCCGATCCATTCTTGTCCACCTACTTGCCCTCCTCCCACACCTTGGTGAAGGGGACGTCGCCGGCGTCTTCAATCTGGGGATCGAGCCACTCTACCTCACGCACTGTGACAAATTGGACTGTCACTAACCACCGGCATCGTCGATGAAGAGAGTGAGACCGCGACGCTGGTGGTGGGAGCCGGGCCAGTCTAGCAAATCAACGTAGGAATAGGGTAGAAAAATCATAGGAATAGGAAAGTCATAAGAAATGAGATGACATGTATCTCAAATCCTATGAGTAGGAATAGGAAAGGAAATGCCCTTTGATTCACATCATAGGATTTTTTTTATTAAGTCTAGGCTAATGTTTATTTTTCTATGAAATGTGGAGGATAGGAAGAATTCCTCCATAGAAATAGAATTTCATTCATACAAACCAAAGAGCTCTAAATGATTTTTTTTCTATAAAAATCCTATCATATGAAAATCCTATAAAATTCCTCCAAACAAAAGGAGGCCTAACCGAAAAAGGATTTCGCCCCGCTTTATAAATAAAGCAACCACCGAGCACAAAGTCCACAAGGTATCAACCAAAACACACACACACACCCAACGCCACCGCGCGAAGATCCAACACAAACGCACGGAACACAACACACAACATAGGTTCAGCTGTGGGCACAGCACAACAAACCCAACACAACCACAAGGAACGCACAGACAACAAGCGGCGGCGGCGTCGATGACGAAGGAGAGCTAATCCGGCTCAGGCGGTGGAGGGGGAAGCGGCGGAGCCATCCGGAGAGCCATCGCGCGAAGTTGGGTGATGATGAAGGTGATGGCGTCTCTCTCCCTGGGGCGGCTAAGCGGCCGCCGAAACTGCAAGTAACTAGACCATTTGAACAAAAGCATTAGTAGCACGCCCAAAAGGTATACGCTGAATCACAAAAGGAGGCCTAAACCAAAGGAGGCCTAAGGGGATGGATGGTTAATGTTTCGCAAAGGGGATGGATGGTTAATGTTTCGCAAGAAGCTTCGTCCCAGCGAACGGGTCTAATAGGATGACGTGGGCCAGCTGCTGCTCCAAGATTCAGCAGAAAGCGACGGTGATCGGGGCGTTCGCCGGGAATCGTCAGATTTTTACGGTCCCCGGTTAGCTTTTCCTTAAACTTATTTATAACCCTAAAGAAAAAGATCAATGAAATTATTGATTGATTTGAAAAAGAAAAGAAAAAGGACTAGAAGTGTGTACGTACACGCGCAGCGTCTGAATTAATTTGGGCGTACCTACGTGTCAATTCAACCCCGCTGCTGGCCGGATTGTCCGTTCGTACGTACGTATGGCATCTCATTCATCTAGCTTGCTAGCGCACTCCTAATTCGAAATGTAGTCTCGTACGTGGCCGACTGGCCGTCGAACACCGTCTTCCCAACTACATAGGGATGTAGACTACATCCCTCGTCCAACCATCAGATCGTCTGTTCCTTCTCCGGCCAAGGCGCCAGCTCTCAAAGTCAAAGCGCCAAAAGAGATCACCGATGTTTTCGGTTGAGCGAGCAATGGCCAAAGCCGCCGCGTCCCTTCTCCCCGGTCTTCTCCCGACCCCGCAGATGAAGCCGTGCCTCATCATCCTGCCGGCTTCCTTCGCCTCCAAGCCCAACCCCATGCCCGGCCGTGCCGACTCCGTTGAGAGGTGGGAATGGGATGCGCACAAGAAGGACAAGAAGCCCACTACCCCAGCGGCCCAGCCTCGTCGTGCTGCAGCAGCTCAAGTCCCGGCCGAGCCTCATCCTGCGAGTGTTGGGACATAAACAAGCAGTTCTCCGGCAGCAGCCGCACGTCCTCGTCTTCGTCGTCGTCAAGCCGACCAAGCAGCACGAGCCCCGGAGGGAGGTGGGATAGCAACAAGCGGCTGCCGCCCAGCCGCGCGAGCACCGCCGATCGCTGGGACACGCACAAGAATCCTTGCCCGGCACAAGCTACCGCCGTGAGCTGGATGGGCGACAAGGAGGACCAGGAGGACGACGACACAACGGCGATGGTTCTGAAACCGACAGCGCCGCCGCACATAGGCCCCATGTTCTCTTGCCTGAGTTTCCTCGCCTCCCCTGACCCGAGCATGCTTCTACTGCCGACCTTTTTTTTCTCGCGGAACCCGGAAGTGCGCCCGGTACAAGCCTTTTAGGGCTTCATTAGCTAGTAGTTGCTCGTTCGCACTGCTCATGTATATTTGGACATACACTTTGTAACTAGCTAGTGTGTTGAGGTAGCAGTGGGTATTTTTTCTATCATTTTATGTTCATGCATATGTAGCAGCATTGATCGCATTGTACTCTAACGTTCAAGATCATTTGTTGTTTGTTTGTCTTCTGATCGGCACTGCTGTTACAAGCTAGCTTTTTTTTTTTTTTTGAGGGAATGCTTTTACAAGCTAGCTAGTTTAAGATGAAGGTAGCATCAGGTGTTTTTAACATACACTAAATCCCGGTGATGCACCCAAACATCCTGGAAGGTCATGCATGCATTAAACTGGATCAAGAAAAAATTAATCAACAAGGCTAGCAGCTGGCTAATCAAAAAAAAATTGGGCTGCAGGTGCATGAAAATTTTGGCAAAATTAGATTGCAAAATCATATTTGTGTTCTTGAGTCTATGTTTAGGCCTTATACAAAAAAAATAAGTATCAAACATGAGGGTGCCAAGACTCTATCTCGAACATGGAGTTTACTGGTTTTCTTTAATTTTTAAAAGTGGTAACAAAGTCCTGTAAACATGGTACCCTCATATGACATCTAGAGACGCTGGTAAAAATTTTGAGAAGGTATTATAGAATTTGTGACGTACACTGCCTAGAATTTAAACCATCTTCGAGGAAGAAACATGGTTTAGAGAGACACCAAGAGTCAGGTTTGAAGGCGATACGACTGTTGTTTCATCCATTGGACTTTAATAATCTTCCACACTCAAGATACGGTACTACATGCTCTAAGTCAAAATTTGGCATTCTGTAAACTGAGCCTAGTTGAGATGGTTAGGTTTCTTGTGATGGAAACAACCCATCAGTGTTCAAGTCCGAGACTATGCACTCGTGCTCGCATTTTTCAGAATTTATTTAGGCTTTCAGGTGATGTTAATTCAGTGGGAGGAGACACTCCCGTCCACTAGGAATGTGCATGTGGTGACTTTGTGAGTTGTTGTCTCGGCTCAGTATCTCGGAGGTGCTCATAGGAGTACGGTGTGTATGTGTGCGTTCATAGGGATGCATGTATGTGGACAACTGAGTTAAATGTGCTAAAAATGGCATTTTGGGGGGATTCATTAGCTACGATTAAATGCATTTCTAGGCATTTGAACTGCAAGTGCAAGAAAAAGTTGGGTCGAAAAATTACATTTGTGTTTTTGAGTCTATGTTTAGACTTTATACAATAAATAACAAACTTGAGGGTGTCAAGACTCGACTAATAACATGGACTTATTATTTTTTAATTCCAAAAGATGAAAACAAAGTCTGAAAATATGAAACTTGGCATGGTGCACTCATATGACATCTAGAGACTGGCAGACTGCGGTAAAAAATTGAGAAGGTTTCACAAAAATTATCTTGTACACTGCTTTGAAATATCTTTGAGAATATCAATTAATTTG